TCCGTTTCCAGAGACCTCCAGCCCAAGGAGGTTTCTGAATACCCCATTCCTGACGCTGGGTGCTTTCAGTAACTGCTTGGCTGTAAGTTGCCTAGGGGAAGTCAACTTCACACAGCATTCAAGTCCTGCCTGATCAGTGCTGGGTATCACCAGCGTGCTGGGTGCTTTCAGTCACTGCTTGGCTGTAAGTTGCCTAGGGGAAGTCAGGAAGCACTCTGCAAAACCTCCATTTGCCACCTCTGTTTCCAGAGACCTCCAGCCCAAGGAGGTGTCTGAATACCCCATCTTCTGCTGCTCATTTCATTCCTGAATACCCCATCTTCTGCTGCTCATTTCATTCCTGATGCTGGGTGCTTTCAGTCACTGCTTGGCTGTAAGTTGCCTAGGGGAAGTCAACTTCACACAGCATTCAAGTCCTGCCTGATCAGTGCTGGGTATCACCAGCGACTGCCACAGCACTGAGCAGAGACCCTTAAAAGTACATACATACAGACCATGAACTCCTACAGGAGTGCATCAAACCCAAAGAGAGTGCGACATGGTGGCTCTTACACCCATGTGGATGACATTTGTAATCAGTGAACTGGGACAGGTGAATGCTTCCTGATGGGGCTTGATGGGACAACGCTCTGCTGGCCTTCATGTGGCATCCCTGAGAGTGAGGAGCTGCATTGGCCCCTGGACAAGGCTGGGGAGAGGTGGCAAGAGCCCACCTGCCAAAACCTGCACCGGCACTGAAAACCGAGAACATGGAAAAGGGCAGGTTTGGCTCTGCTCTGGAAGGAAAACATTTCTGCACGGCCAGGGGGCATAGGCATGGCGAGCAGGGAGCACTTTGCTCAGGAGGAAAAGAAACTGAGGAGAAATGAGTAGTAACTGTCTAGAAAACAGCATATTGCCAAGGGCAGGGGTTGAAAGAGAGGCATTATCTTATTCTAGGAATTAGCTGGCTGACTCCAGAAGTCCCAAACGATTCTAGGACCTTCAAAAGTAGTTTTTGTTAAAGATTGCTGCCTATCGTCTGCTTTTGGCTGGCAGCACTCAGGGCGACAAGGAAATTATCACAGCACCAAAACAGGAGGAAAGCAAAGATGTGCCTGAGATAAGGCTAGGCTTTTAGGAAGGCCAGCAAGTCAGATGTGGAAATGCCACATAGAATCATAGAATCATTGAGGTTGGAAGAGACCCTTGGGATCATCGAGTCCAACCATCTCCCCTACTCTACAAAGTCCTCCCCTACACCATGTCCCTCAGCACCGCATCTAAACGGCCCTTAAACACATCCAGGGATGGTGACTCCACCCCCTCCCTGGGCAGCCTGTTCCAATGCCCGACCACTCTTTCGGTGAAAAATTCCTTCCTAATGTTCAATCTAAACCTCCCCTGTTGGAGCTTGAAGCCGTTCCCTCTCGTTCTGTCACTAATTACATGTGAGAAGAGACCAGCCCCAACCTCTCTACAGTGTCCTTTCAAGTAGTTGTAGAGAGCGATGAGGTCTCCCCTCAGCCTCCTCTTCCTCAAACTAAACAGTCCCAACTCCCTCAGCCGCTCCTCATACGATTTGTTTTCCAGCCCCCTCACCAGCTTCGTTGCCCTCCTCTGCACCCACTCCAGCACCTCCAGATCTCTCTTGGATTGAGGTGCCCAAAACTGGACACAACACTCGAGGTGTGGCCTCACCAGTGCTGAGTACAGGGGCACAATCCCCTCCATACTTCTGCTGGTCACACTATTTTTGATACAAGCCAGAATGCCATTGGCTTTCTTGGCCACCTGGGCACACATGTGATCATTAAGAGGCTTTTCATATCCTACCTGTTTCTTTCTCACATACACACTGGTCTAGTTTGGGGGCGGGGAGCTTCCCTTTGATTAGGAGAGCAGCTGAGGTGAACTTTGTTGAACAGACTCTTCTCTTTGCATGGGGCTGCCTCACCTCAAGTTTCGCAGTCAGTGTTTGGACTTGCTCTTCATTGCACAAACTACCTGCAGGAATGAGCAGTGGCTTTCCTTACGAGAAATCCTGCACAGCAAGTCTAAGGAAAGACCACAACCCCAGGGCCAAATGCTGAGATACACAACAAATAAACCCCACTAGAAAAGCCTCTGCCTGCTCCACACAAGCGCTTTCATCTGCAAGGCACAGGCTTGGCCAGCTAGAAGGGACACAGCAACTCCCCCAACTCCCCTCTTTTCCATGGATTTCTACTATTGTGCATCTTATGGAGTCCAGAGGCCAAAACGTCTGTTTAATTCCCTTCACCTGATTTAATTGACAACAAGCATTTTTTTAAAATGATGGATGAAATCCATCCTGCTCCATCCGCCCTGTCCCTCTATAACTGCAATGCTGATTCATGGAGGCCAACACCAAGAGAATAAACCTGGGTGTGCATCCAGAGGAGCAGTCACTGACTTCTGCCCAGCATTGGTGGTTCACAGTGCTGCACCACACATCTGCACAGACAGCTGTGTGCTTAATCCCTTCTGCCTCCAGGGAAATAGAGCAGGGGACAAGTGAAAAAAAAACTACAGTGACTTTTGCAGGACAGGCAGTAAGGAGCAACAAAGCTAAGAATTGTAAATGTTATGTTTTTACTCAACAAAAACATTATCAGTTATGCTTTCCTTGCTGCCAGCTGATGTTGGAGGAACCCTGGCACAAAATATTCTGCCACAGAACAGCCAGTCCAAGAACATCTGTGACTTTTCTTGGCCACTGGTGAGGAGGAATAACCCAAGCATTACCACCTCATTTCACAGGACTCTTGTAAATGAGATAAGCATCATTAGCCCTGCTTTACAAGCAGCAGGGTTTCTTGCCTAAGGTTACAAATACACCTTGAGGAAGGACCAAATTACATTCTTTAACTTTACTAGCATAGCTCCTACAGCCCACTATTCTGGAGCTCAACTTTCATGAAACCTTGCAATAACTTCATTTTTCTCATCTCGTCACGTAAGTAGTCAGGGGAAGATCTCAGCCCTTGGGGGCTTTGCAGGAGCCTGCAGGTCAGAAAGGTACCCAAGACTGCACTGGAGCAGAGCCTCTGGGGAGAGCTCATGTCCCCAGGCTTTGCCATCCACCACAGATGATTAAAGATGCTCAAAACAAGCACCCATCCTTTCCTTTCCTTCCCTCCCCGGCAGAAAGTTCCGCAAAACCTTTTTTGCTGTCATTTCTCAGTGAGACCAAAGGTTGGGCACTGAAAATGCTGCAGCTGCCAGTGAGAGCCACCAGGGTCTTGGATAGAAAAGAGTTAGCTCCTTCTCCTGTCACAGGCCCTGGGCACAGGGGGGGTGTGGGAGGACAGGCTCAGTGTGTGAGAGAACAACTCTGCACCATTTCTCAGAAAGGGAACACTGTGAGCAAAGCAGCAATTCACTCCTCAGCCTCCTGGCACTGAAAAATATATATGGTACACAGGCATCAGTTCATAGGTTATCGGGTTAGATTTATTGAGGAAAAAACCTCAGAAACTGGAAACCGACCACCAAAAAACCAGCTGGGGCATTGAAATGCTGCATTTCTCCCCCCCTGCCCCCGGATGCAGTAGGAAAGCCAAGCACACAAGTGCAGCACCCCCCCCAGGTGCAAGGATAATAAGCAGTAACCAGCAACTTCTCTGTCATGCTAAGGAAGGATGAAAATAGAGAAAGAGATCAGAAGCAATACATAAGGTTAAATTAAAAGGCAATAGCACTGGGAGAAAGCACCCAGGAGGGTTTTTTATGAAATTTCTGGACTGTTTACTGTAGGGTTAGGGTATCACAACTGCTGCAAACTTGGACTGCACGGGACAGAACCGAGCACTATAAGGTCTCAATACTCCTGTTCCTGAGGACATGGCATCAGACAGAAAGCATCCTTTATGTGGGAGACTATATGCATAAAAACCACGGCTTGTTGTATAACTCAGCTTTGCATATACATAAACATATGCACATTTTATTAAAGATGACGCCGTTGCCATTGCCACCACTATATGCATCTGTACGTGTTTTCTGCTGAGGCAGTCTGAATGTACTGAAAATGAGTGAAACTCTCTAGATGCATGTATAAACTGTACAAACCATATAAACCCACGCACTCGGGGAGCGTGGGCAACATCGAATACATGTTTAAGCACCGAAAACCACTTCCAAAGGTTATTTCTTCAGAATATTGTGGTGGCTTGCAGCAGTGATTCAGTGAGATGCTAATACTGCTCAGCATCTGGCTCCATTTCAGGTGTAACATTTACACAGACAAAAAGTAAAAAAAAAAAAGTAAAAAAGTATGAAGTTTGTGCCTTTTCTTTTTTAACCAAGCTTGAAGAAACTGCCAGTCGCAACCGTGAATCACATAAAAGCAAAACTAATGCTACAATAATTTTCCATTTCCCAGAAGAAGAAAAACACCCATCTTGATACAAAACGTGGTGTGAATATTTCAGCTGTCTCAGTGAGACACCTAATTCAGCCCCTTTGGCTCTGTGGTAGCCCAGGCTCTACACAGATCTCCTCACAGCTTTGGCTTGAAAATATCACTCTTTAGCCACATCCTGGCCCCATCCTTTCCCAAGCTTTAGTTTATATTTGTGGCAAATCTCTAGATGCCAGCTTTGGATGGTAGTTACTAGAGATCCCCTTCCAGAAGTCCAGGCAACTGCTCAGGCAGTCTCTGCATCTCAGTTGCCCTGCTCAGAGGAGGGAACCTGTGAAACCATGGTGAAACCTGGAGTAACCCCAGCCCCCCCACAGCGGGGCAAAACTATCACCCTGGGTTCCAGACAAACGCCTGCTGGAGTGGCTGAGAAACCAGGGTGTCTCAAGTATCTTCCAGACTGTTAGAAGCAACATCAGTCAAGGTTTATGCTTTCCTGAAGAGGGCTCCCCGTCTCAGTTTATATAAACAGCCTGCCAGTTTTACAGGATCAGGAAGGGAAAAAAAAAGGCAAAAAGAAAGAAAAAAAACCACACCCACCCCACAAACTAAAGCAAGATAGATGCTACCATACCTGTTGTAACTCCATCTACTGTAAGACATGGTCATGTTGCTGCCGACACCATCCATCTCCGGCTCGGCTACAGCGCTTCCAGCATCGCTCTCCTCCTGCAGGCTCCTGGACCTGGAAATCAAACCCCTGCCTGATGTCGGGCCCACCACGGGGATGGGGGTGGACGCCTCCGGCCTTGCACCGTGGGGCCAAAATTCCCCACCGCCCAGCGGCAGCTTCACATGGAGCTCTGGATGCACGGAGCAAACCACTGCCCGCGGCGGGGAGGGAAGGAGGGAAGGAGGGATGGAGGGAGGGGGAGGCCCTCAGGGTGTCCCCACTGAGGGGACACCGGCAGCAGGATGCTCTCAGCCACCCAGCAGACACAAAGGAGCTCAGGTAATAAACTGGAGCGAGGGTGCTAAGCTGCTTAAGAGCTATTCAGCCAAGCTGTGCTCGGGAGCAGCAGCTTGCACGCCGGCCCTCAGGGTGTCCCCGCTGAGGGGACACCGGCAGCAGGATGCTCTCAGCCACCCAGCAGACACAAAGGAGCTCAGGTAATAAACTGGAGCGAGGGTGCTAAGCTGCTTAAGAGCTATTCAGCCAAGCTGTGCTCGGGAGCAGCAGCTTGCACGCCTCCTGCTCCGGCACACGCACTTTTATTTATTTATTTATGCCGGTTGCCACAGATACGGGTCCATCCCTCTGACATCAGCCATCTCCCACCCTGCCGCCTGTCCCCGGGTCTCACCAACCTGCTCTTCCAGGCAGTGATCACATCTCCCCAGAGTGCAGAGGCAGCTCCACGGGACCTGGGGGTGGTGGTCGCCTGTCGGCTGAACAGGAGCCAGCAGTGGGCCCAGGTGGCCAAGAAGGCCACCAGCATCCTGGCCTGTGTCAGGAACAGCATGGCGAGTAGGGCCCGAGAGGTGATCGTCCCCCTGTACCGGGCACTGGTGAGGCCTCACCTTGAGTACTGTGTCCAGTTTTGGGCCCCCTACCATAAAAAAGACACTGAGGTGCTGGAGCGGGTCCAGAGAAGGGTGACAAAGCTGGTGAGGGGTCTGGAGCACAAGTCTTGTGAGGAGAGGCTGAGGGAGCTGGGGTTATTCAGCCTGGAGAAGAGGAGGCTGAGGGGAGACCTTCTTGCTCTCTACAACTCCCTGAAAGGAGGGTGTAGAGAGGTGGGGGTCGGTCTCTTCTCCCAAGTCACAGGCGACAGGACGAGAGGAAATGGCCTCAAGTTGCGCC